GAAAAGTGTCAGTAAACAATGAGAAAAAAATACTACATTTATGTTTGAAGGAGACATTTTTCCCTTCTGAGAGAAGCTAAAACCAAAATGTTCCCATCTGCATGACAAAGTGGCTGTAGCGAGGTTGGCCGTGCAAGTGACAAAGTGGCTGTGGCGAGGTGGGCCGTGCAAGCACCATCTTGCCCAGCCAGTGTGAGTGGCTTCAATGCAGTTCTCCGTCTTAAGGATTGCTTACAGAAAAGAGGATTGCTCACAGCTTTTTCTGGTTCAGAGGCAATTCAAAACTTCCAGGTGATCTTCAGGTATCTTCCTACTTGGCTCCTGTGGGAGAGAAATGGCAGAGGAATGACCCACTGGTGCAGTGGGTCAGCCCACGGTTAGCCCAAGATTAGGATGGCAAGTCCCTTACCCCAGGACCCCAAATTGTGCCAAGGCTTTGTGTTTTCAAGCATCTGAATGTGCTTTGTAGCATTTTCTTCCTTTTCTGCTTGGTCTCCAGTCTTCGGGCAAAAATGTTTCTTCTTTAAATTTGATAGAGTTTAACAGCTGTCCTTGCAGTTAAAACAGCAACAAGAAAAACCTAACCAGCCAAGCCAAAAAGGGTTATTTATGAGGCTTTATAAAACTTCTGTTGGAATAAAGATCATTTGAGTCATTCTCCTCTGATTCACCCATAGCTCGTGTGCAAGCAACCCCCTTCCGCAGAGGAATTAGGCTGCTGTTAATCCCTAGTAAATTCAGCTGATGAGATGGCTCCATTGACCCTCTCCATCACGACAGCAGCTCTCCCTGCCTGACCCCGCTGCACGCTGCTGCCACCAGCTGTGACTTAGCATAATTCTGCTCGGCAGATGGATTGCTACGTGTCCAGGGGCTCCTCAAGGATGAGCAGAGGGTTTATGAACTTTCTGGAGCTTGTTTCCAAAAAGCCTCTTGCTCAAAAGTCATAATGAAGAAACTGGTCCTTACTGGGACAATCTTACTCCTTTTATCTTGGGGTTGAAGCTTTAAGCTGCTCTCCTCTCCCTTCCCCTCGGAGGAAGGGGAAAGGCTTGGAGACTAGCAACAGTCTGCGCAACCATAAAAGCAGTCTTACTTTTTCTGGGTGATACTCCTGCCATCCTGGTCCAACAACTGCAATGATATTGAGGTGCATGACATTGCAGGGGGCAAAAAGTTGTGCAACTGTTGTCAGTTTTACTTTAATACTTTTTGCTGTGTTCCCTAGAAGATCTGTGAATCCTATACAACTTCTGTCACTGAAGAATTAAAGAGGCAGCACATTGTGGCTCTGCAACTACAGCAAAGTCTCCTTTTTTCTGGGATACCATCATTTGGTGGTGGCCCCTTTTTTAGGATGATGTCTGCCCCTTGTTATATTTATTAGACCCTGTAGAATCCCCTTCTTACAATAAATTACATCGTCTTAATGATATATGATTTCATACAACTATTATAGTCTTTACTGAATGATGTCCAGGGGTCTGAGGAGGACAGACAAGCGAAACGCATTCTTCAAATGTTGCCTAGCAGGGCATGTCTTCGTTGGGGGATGGGTTTTTATTAACCTCTTACACAAGCAGAAAATCTTCATTTAATTCAGATGCCTTTTATTATAGTTTGAAATTACCAACAAAATAACAAGGAACAAAGAGAACTCTCCGTGCAAGAAAAACCTACAACACCCTGCCGCTGAGGATTCGCAGGGCTTTGGAAGTATACTTAATTCAAACAGGAGTGCAGAAGTACTCTTAATATAACCCAAGAGCAGGTTAACACTGAAAGGGATTGTCCTGCTCTCTCCACACCTGGCCACGAGGTCCCACTGCCCCTTTTGCACCACTTCCATGCAGTGGGTTGGATGAGCGTGAGATGAAATCACTGTTCCATAAGATGACTCACATTACAAAGCTGTACCCTGGGATCCCACCATTAAATCCCCCACAAGTGATCGTCTAAAAGCCCTCCTCTTAGGGATGCCAGAATGGTGAAAGCAGAAGGCATTTACATTTCCCCTGAAGACCCAGTCCTTCCATCAGCCCTCAGAGCAGTTTGCTGACTAAATCTTCTATGTATTTGAATAATTTATCATATGAATAAATTCATTTATGCTGAATGAAGAGGTGGACTACTGGGATGCAGTAATGCCAACACAACAAAATTGAAGCTGGGGAGGTGGGGGAAATGAACCCGTAACAATGGCAAGTGGTACCGTCTGCTCAGGAGACAGCTGTGACCACATCTGAAATACGAGAGTGTGGGGAGGTACGGAGCAGCATCTAAAAAGGGCTTTAGAATAAGCAGAGTTGAGCAAAACCCAAGCCGCTCTTTTTGAGCTGCAAAAATGTGGTTGTTACAGAATGACTGAAAACTAAATTGCAAGTTTTATGTCTCATCCTGAATTTTCCAATTCAGAAAATATACAGGTAACATTTCTGTGCCTTTTACTTCCCACTGACATTTAAGAAATAGAAGTCTCAACTCCTGCCAAATGATCTGTCAGCCCAAGCCCTTGACCTGGGCAACTTATGAATGCATGTTACAGATGCATGCAGTGCAAAGGCTGAAAATATTAAAAGCCAGATTTCAAATAGTATAAACTGGCTTTGGTACAGCTTACATCAGCTGCTGATCTGGTCCGTAAGTGTCTTACAGCAGTAACAGTTGGAGGGATGACGGTTTGCATTCACTAAACGCTGATGAGGGCTACCTAACTAGGTGTGCTTTGCTTGCATTTGTGGCCAGGAGACTGATTATATTGAGCATTTTTAAAATCCCTCTTTCATTAGCTGTTCTTCAAAGAAATCATTACATGCCGGAGTCAAAGCAGCAACCAGAATGACAACTTCATTATCTTTATTGGAGTCCAGATCTTTCATAATCTTATCAACCAGAAGGAGGTACTTTGGGCCCTAAAGAGAAAGAAAAGTGACTTAGCTGTGCAGATCTTGAATGCATAGTTCTGACACACCCAGCGGTGCAACCCACTGCTATGTCGCAAGCCCCAGTGCTATTAAATAAAAAGCTGCATGAAATATGCACCTGAATAGTAATATACCACTAGCCACAGCATTAAAAACCGTCTGGAGTCCCAAAAGTGCACAGTAACAGAAACTGTGCAGCTTTTAAGAAGGAATACAGGTACTAAATAGGCACTGAAATGAATCAAACAAATTTTAGGAGCTGCTGAGCACTGATTTCTTTTGACAAGATGGATCTATAGTGTGAATTTCTCTGTGTCATCCCTTAACAAACAGTACTTAGATTTTCAACAGGCTATTCGTAAGTGGTCATATTATACACCCATTCATCACATTCAGAAGATCTCTACTTAGCAAACAACACATCCTATTCAGTGGGAGTAAGAACAGTGAATCGCATAATAATAAATCAATAGCCAAGATTAAAAGAAAATACCATTCAAGGAAATGGAAAAAAATCCTGCTGGTGGTGATAGGGTTCACAACAATTTTTAAGTTAAGAGAATACAGAAAAACAACTATGAATCTGGTCATTATTACATAAAAGAACCATGCTGTGTAATGCAGAACATAACAAATGTGCAAAGAGATATTCAGATCAGCAGCTTATCGCTGAAAGGATTTTCTTAGCATCTCTCTGCAGGCCACACAAGCCGCTGTACTGTGTCTGTGGCCATTGTGCACAAGCTGCTTTCTTGTCTCATAAGAACCGGTTGCTGGATTCAATTCTTTGAAGGATTTATCTATGCCCTATTATTAAAAATGAACAAACAAAAAAAACCTGATCAAAGCATGATTTAGCATTGATTTTGCTATTGCTTCTTCTACTGCTGCCTTTGCCCTCCCGCTCAAAAGTGCAGCGGAGTAGGCAGAGCACAGGTACCCGGCTCTGCTGCTGGTGGCACATGGCAGGGCACTGGGGATGGACCACTCTCTGAAAAAACACTTCTCAAATGGGACATTTGATCTCATCTCCTTCTGTCTGGCTCCACAAAGACAACTGTCATCTGAGAGGCTGTGGAAGGATGTGCCTTGCAGAAGGAGATGTTATTCCTGAACACTTGGATATCTGCTTATCCCACCCATGAAACAGTAACTCAAGACATGCAGGAGCTGCATCTTACTGAAAGGAAGTCAGCGATCTCGCTGGTGAGGAGCTCCTTGAATTCTCCTTTACTGAGCTTGTATCTGTCTCCTTCTTTGCCAGAGTAGTGATGGAAAATCCTGATCAAGGTGTCCGTCGCGTCCTCCAGCGGTGTGGACATAGCAGTGAGCAGGACAGCTGCGGGGCGAAGATCCAGAGTCAGTGACATTGCACAGGAGCCAAACCAAAAGCCAGTCTCAGGGAAGGGATGGAGAGCTAGTTGAAGAGATAAATTGTTACCAGTACTGAAAAAATGGGTTTTCAGTTTATCCATCCTGTCAGCTGTGTGTGAGCAAGGCTAGACTGTTATAAAACATCGTCCTGAACTCACTAGCAATTACTTTGAAAAGGTAAACGGAAAGGAACATCTTCATTTAAGAAAGTGATTTACTGTGCATCCATTTTGCAAAGCTACTGTAAAAGGAAATCTCTCATACCCATAGCTGAAAACACAGGGAAAATGAAGGCACACCCTCCTACCTGTTCATTGATAAGTTTTCTCAAGAAAATGAGATCAACAAATAAGAATGGCCAAAGTGGGTGCGCATTTATCTGGAAGGCTCCACAACAGTTCCTTAGGTGATTAGAGGAAAGTCACCAGTAATCAGGATAAAAGCATCAGCTTTCAACTTTTTTGGTCCTGTTTGCTTGGGCTGACCCTTTTTCCTGTAAATTAGCTGCAACAAACAAATGTGAGCTAGGCACCCCCAAGGTTTTGCTTCATCGAACGTGCAGTAAGAAGGTACACAGGGAAACACCACCATGAAAAAAGATGGAAATGTAGTTAATTGCTGAGTAGCTGACTCAAAATATAGCTAAAAAGAGAAATCAGGTGAAAAAGAAATATTATGTTGATTATGCCCTGGGAGAGAGATTAAAAAGCCAGAATGAAATTCAAGGTAAGACTGGAGTCCTATACAATATCACTGTGCAAAGGCTAAGACATACCTGCTTTACAGGCTAGCTGAGGTATATGTGAGAAAATACTCAGATCACAGAAGGTGATGGTCACCTTCCTTTCAAAACCCATGCACAGGCTCTTGTTTATCAGGCTGAGAGCGCAGATTACACAGAGACAGACGTATAATTGTCACAAGGATGACGGGGCTTCTGTTTCCCTCTGCATTTGCCTACTCTGTTCAATAGAAGCCGCTTGCTGTAAACGGGTCACTAAAATACTCACTAGGCAGAGTAGAGGGCTGTGTGTGGAACACACGAGATATTTTTTATCATTTGACCTTTTACAAATATGCCCATCTGGGCCCCTGAAGGTCAAAATTAGAAAATGCTAACAATCACCAAGTCAGTATAAAACAACTTTCCCCCATTTTCAAAAGAACTCTTTCTAATCTGCCTCTCTGCACTTCTACAGCTGAGAGTCTAAATGCCTCAGCATTGGCAGCCAGTATTCAAAGATACCTGGGTACCTAGGGGTAGGCTTGGAGGTGAGTCTGCTACAAATCCCTTGAGACATCTACCTTTATTGTCAAATGTCCCCATAAGCCTAAAACATTGGCTCTTGCTGAATGAAATTCTTGCTGTAGTACATGTGTCCTCAGGAGGAAACAAGGAAACCAGCTTCAGAGGAAGGTGTGCCTGAAATTACAGTGTGCATTGATCAACAGGCTTGGCTTCATTTTTATCAGTCCTGCACAACAGCTGCAGTTCAGCATCTCTCTTTTAATAAGCGATCTTCCCCCAGGAGGGCTTCCCCTGCCCCGACCCCAGGGACTTGCCAACCCCAGGGGCGATGGCTGGGTGACGCAAGAAACAGCATCTTCATCACGGCAGGGCCTATTTATCACCTGAAATACCAAATAACCACAGTTTTCACGATAGCTACATGAAATGGAAAACTGCTTGCTTTGGGTTTGCTTTCCCTCAATAACGCCTTCCACCTGCTGCACGTGCATGTCCAGTGAGTATAACTGTGCAGACAAATAGCAAGAAGGCACACAGCTGCAGCTCTTTCTCTATTCCAGCCAGGGGGAAAGAGAATGAGATGGGCATTGTTTTTAGCTCCGAAAGCCTCCAGGCACTCATAACTTTGAGTGCCACGGTAGATCTCAGCCCACACCTCTGCCTGCCTCTTTTGCCTTAAGACATGACGCTTCTTCCGTCTGTGCCGTTGTGACAAGTGTCCACAACCTGAGGGGTCTTGGCTGTGCCTCTGGGAGAAGGGGGAATGAAGGGAGGGGGCACATAAAAATGCTGGATCCCAGTGATATGGGAGGTGACTGTGTAAAGTGTTGTTTCTGAAACAGTAGGCAGGCTCTTCTGCTTAGTGGTCCCTGCAGACATGCACAATACCACATGCAGAGCGTACGTCTTCACCTCCCATCACTGCGGTTGTGAGTGCTCACCAGGGATGGGGTAAGACAATGCCCAGGTAAATTTTAGCAAAGGTCCAGGTGGAAACCAACCTGGAAATGCAACAAGAGGAACCTAATCCCTCCTGGAGTCAGAGGAGAGTTGGGGAGAGGAGTTGCTTTCCATACCTCTTCTGTATTTGGGGATAGCTAATGGGAGCCCGGTTTTGTACAGAGGGAGTCCCTGTGCTCCAGCAAGCACAGGGATCTAGCTGGACCATATGCAGCACATGGGAGAAGAACATGGGTGATAACAGGCATAGCACAGCTCTCTCACTCAGATCCTGGGTACTCTCTGTCTTTGCAGATGCTAAGAAAAAGCATGGAGTGTCTTATGTAGCTACAGCCAGGCAGGGCTATATCTTGCCTGTGATTCACTAATGCTTATAACTATTGCTCAGAAATATTAACCAGATAAACATCAAAATACTGGGTTTTTTTTGCCATTTATTCAACAACAGTTTCACCCACAACCAGAAAAAAACCACACCTGAGTCAATACATAAGTATAAAATCCTCCTTTTTGTCTATATATTACATTGATCCTCTGGCTGATGAATACTGCAAATTAATTATCTAAGCAGAGTCTACAGGAGGTACCAACTTCCAGGAAGCAGGTATAAACTTTCACAGCTGCCATCCTCAGGACAGAAGAAAGAAGGGTTTCCTCTGTCATCCCCAGAACATCGGCTCAATAATTTATACGATACAATCTGTGCAGTCTCTTTCAATAGCTGCTTTCACTCCAGCTAATTGTGTAAGAAATTCTATTCCACACTAGTGGATTACATGTACACAGGGAACGGCTGCACTGAGCTTGTTTGTTAAGAGGTCCATCCAATTTGCTGTGTCCATCCCTTTCCTCCCTAGCTAGTGAAATCCTGCCAGTGGCTCCGGTGACAGCAGAGATCTCCTAACTTCTGTGAGGGCAGGTCCCAGAGGCTACTCAAAATTCATGATTATCAATCAACAGTTTTTAATCCTTCATCCAGAACTCCAGCACAATCTGGTTTTGTATGGTATCTAATAGGCACTGAAGATAACTAAAGTCAATGCAGCCTGCGAGCACTTCTGTATCAGAGCAAGACCTGACTCTGTGTGAGCAACCACCATTCCCCCATCAATCCTCCCGCGCCCTCTGGTTTCCACCAGGCTAAACACAGGAGCAGCACCAGACATGTGGCTGGCAGAGGGAGTAGGACTGCAGCATGACTATAGACACGGTGAAGATTGGTGCCTTCCTCATTCATGACCAAACTTTGTCCGTCACAACCTGCCAAATCATGGCAGTGTTGGTGGGAAGGCACCTCTGGAGGTGCCTAGTCCCACCTCCTGCTCAAAGTGGGATGTTCACCAATGCCAGACCAGGCCAGCCATGGCTTTGTCTAGTTAAACCTTGAAAATGTCCAAGGATGGAGATTTCACAAGTTCTTGGGTAACCTGCTCTAGTGCTGCACTACCGCTCTGGGGAAGATGTTTATCCTACTATCCAGTCTGAGCATCTGTGGCAGGTGCACCCACCCTTTTAAATGACCGGGGGCATCAGGACTGCTTCATCCCTACTTTTCGCACCCTTACATTTGCGCCTTCACATTGGCAAGTGCCGACCGTAACGTACACGCTTTGGGTCAGTAATTACGGTCATGTATACACCTCAGGCAAGGAGTAAGAAAGTTAAGACCCTCAGCCAATTAGAGTTGACCACAGGTCAGATTCGACTAGGGTATAGATGGAGCCCTGCCGGAGTTGGTCCTCCTCAGAGCAGCAGGTCTGCAGCTGGGGACTCTCCCCTTGGGTCAGGGTGCTGCCCAAGGAAACTCCTTGAGGCTGAGAGCCCTCATCTTATAGGTGAGTGATTGTGCACATTTTGGATCCTCATTTCTAAAGCTGGCTGTGCAGTACTAATTCCTCGTACACCATCCTGAACCTACAGTTTACTGATGTTGTCAGAGCGTTGAACAATTTTGATGAGCCTCATTTCTAGTTAGTTTTCTGCTAAACAACTTTGGTTTAAATAAAGTTTATTTTTGAATCTGTCACCTGCTTAATTTGGTTTTGTGAGCTTCTGCGACAGCATCCCAAGCTGCAATGGTGGCCAATGGCCCCTTTTGCACCACCTACCACAAAGAGTTTGACTGTGTTGACTTTATAAATTCCCTTCAAATAGTCTTGGCTCCTCACTCAAACTCAAAAATAAACTTGAAAGCAGCCTGTCCCCCGAATCGCCCAGTCTAGTTCCATGTTTATTGTCCCCTCCACGTTATGTGCTTGCCCCTTGCAGACTGCTCCAGCTGTGCCCTTCTCCTAATGAGTATTTCAATATTAAAGCGCGTGCTGCCAAACCAATGGCTGTCAGAAGCAGACAGGCAGATTTTTCACCTGGCATGGACTTCCGGAGGGCGGACTTTGGC